CATATGTACTTCCTTCATCAAATCGATTACAACGAGCGTATAAACACACGCACTTGTAGGTGATACGCGCCATTTAAACCACGACCTGTCGAAATTTTTACAGGCGATGTTCATTTATGCAAAAACTATAAAATTAATTTATTCAACAATTACAATGTTCAATAAAAATGTAAATTACGAAGGCGCGTAATTTAAAATGCATAATAAATAAAAGTGACATCTTAAGTACATATATGTACATTTAAACAGAAATCATTGTTTTTACAGCATTATAATCGATTAGAAACTAGGTACTTTTCTATTAAAATCATCAACTTAAATGCGTGTGTGTATTCAGTTGTATATTCATAATTAAACATTTGAACTTAGATTATTTAATAATTACTTAAATATTATGTGCCTGTGAATGTATCAAGGCATTTATTTACGAGATAACTGCTCCTGAACATTGAAGGAGAAACCCCATCGTAAACAAAACAGCTGTGTTCATCACGGTTTTTATTTTATACAGGGAAATGTCATATAGTCGGATGCATTCTCTTTTCGTCTCTTCATTACGTTGGGATAAGTCTTTTGAGGAAATAGTGAATGGAATAATTAATATTCGAAACCAGCTTTCGACCGTGGCTTCGCTCGCGTTAGTCTCGATGCTGTCAATATTTTTTGAGGGGAGTAAAAGTAGCCTAGTTGCTATTTGATACTTTAATGTTTTTTTGGGTCTTTCATTTAGATAAAATCAAATTGCCGCATTTATAACAGAGGTCCGTTTTCACACAATGTTTGTTTTAATATGCCAATGGCATGTTATTTTAGACAAGGCATTGACGACATTTTCCTTAACGTTCTCAATAAACAAACGACGATAAACAAACGCCTATAAAAAAATGTTTTAATTTCGGTTTGATACCCTGTAGCAGTTCAAAACGTGATTTCACAACGTTCGTATTTATACAGATAAGATACCAATTTTACTTGACTTTTAAATACAAATCGAAAGCGTATTACTTTCAAATAACAAGTAAAGACATTTAATTGGCTCCATTTAAGAATATTGCGTAATAAAGTGTAATTAAATTCGAGATATGGGTACAATTTAAAAGTATAACACAAGTTACGCAGTAATTGTGGCAGTACCGGTGGTCTACTACAGCTTGAACAAAAAATGTTAAGGTCCAGGTAAAAGTAGCCGCCGAAGAGAATGTACACGCCAAAAATGGACTACTTGTATATTAACTGGACGAGATGAGAGACGAGATAAGTCGATAACTTGGAAGCTGTTGTCACGCGAACATTAATTACGGCAACGGACACGGACAACGCTTCATTTAGCTTAATACATTTTAATATAATTGACTTTTTAAGTGATAATATTACAATTCATACTATGAACCAATTAAATAATATAATATATAATAATAATAATAATATAATATACCTCACACATCTCACACACGGCCGTCTGATCCCAAACTAGGCAGAGCCTGTGCTATGGTAACCAGACTGCTGATAAACATACTTATATATTTTTAAATACATACATATTATAGATAAATTACACCCAGACACAGAACAAATGATCGTGCTCATCACACAATATTAATCAAAATAGTTTATTCCAATAACACTAATTATAGGTATTTCAGAATTATCTCGAGAAGTAACTGGTCAGTTGTGAAGCAGTGCCTCTTCTAATGCGTAGATCCTGTGAAAGAAAACTCCAATTTTACTCTTTTCTATATATTCCATACTTTCATTACAATTAGTACGTTATGAGAAGAATCGTGTGACGTCATCACTTATATTCTAAATGGAGAAACGAATTTGTTCGGTACGTAGTGTTGTTACTCCGTCTTCCTACTGAACTGATAGTTATTAAGTGAAGCGCACACATAGTCGGGGGAACAGAAAAGTAAAGGGTTTATTTATTTAAGAAATAAGTTACGTGAATAGAAACAAAACATAAACAAAGGTTATTACGAGTGTAATGTAATTGCGACTTGGTTAAAGTCAAGTCCAAGACAAAATACTCAAATTTATTTATTTTATTCTCTCTCCCTAGCATTTTTCAATGCCTGAAGACTTAGCGTCACAGTTTAAGCAGCCTTTACATTTGCCTCTTTGTGACGCTGAAGATAATAAAGCACAAACATTGGAATTAGCCATTTCCGTCGTGAACACGTCTCCTAAAATAACGACAAACAAAAAATATACATGGTATTGGTTTGTTTCATTCTTCACTAAAATGGAAGGAAAATATTATTGTTAAGGGATATAATTCTAAAGTAAATAGTTCAACGACCTCTAAAGACAGTAATTAATATAAGTAGATATAAACCCAAGTAAATTTCTTATATCTCTGCTGTGCTTAGGTCTCGGGTTCGATTCCCGGGCCGGACCAAATGTTTTTATAATCTGCAAATAGTTGTTTCGGAGTTTGGATGTTTTCTATGTATAATTTGTAGGTATTTACAAAATATATATATATGTACATATATAAATATTCTATCAGTCAATCTAGCTTTCATAGTACATTATCTGCTTAGTTTGAAACTAGATGGCGTTGTGTATCAGATACCCGAAATGTTACTTACAATCCCAGGATCTGTTATTATTATTATCCTTAAAAGTACGCGAAGAAACATATAGAGTGTATATCTATAGTGTATTCAAGTATATTTAATGTGCCTTAGACTCAAGAATACTCGCAATAAGAAGTAAAAAGTAATATAAAATACCTTTTCATCTGATAATAGTTACGAGTGCAGCATCAATTATAGTGATTCGATATCGAGCTCTTGATGGAGTAATTATATTTGAATTAAAGATAAATGCAGCTGTAATCATCAATAACTTGTCTGACATATCCTTATTTGTAAAAAATATGTAAACTACTCAATTATTATGATTGCGATGAACTAATTTTAAAGTAAAAAGTCGGGACCAAAGTGACTTGGGATTAAATAATAGCTTCGGACCCGCAATCTCATTATCACTAGCCCGTCCCCCTAAGTTCTACCGAACTATTGAAAGAGGAACCATTTCATTTAAAGAAATTACAATATATTTAAGCTAAGAGATTATCATTACCAACTTACAGCTCAAAGAAGAGCCATTTTTGACGCTTGTCACACTACGACTAGTGTCATGGTGTTTATAACGCACAATTTCAAACTGATTCCCATGATACGCGTGTCCTTAGAATAACATCCGTTTACTCTGATCTTATCGAGTGGCGACTTATGATACCACACAGTGTTTCTGCACTTAGTTGTATAAAGAAATACCAAGCATGGCCATTAGCTCTCAGATATTTGTTAAATATCAGTCGTTTGGGTGGTGCGATAACAGCGGTTGTTAATGCGCGGGCGCAGCTTCCGCCGCGGGTTTACAAACAGCAAGGTTGCGCGCCAAACGGACGCACTATCACGTTGATGTGGGAATAACAAAAGAATCGCTGTTTTCCAACACATTTCTGGCACAATACTTTGTTGGCAATCGAAGCGACGGTGAAGCCTTTCTGTATACATATGACAATGTGTTTGTAGCCAGTCGGAATCCATAACACGGTACTTGCTGCTCGCTCAACAATCCCAGGATGTGTCCTAAGGAATATGATACCGAACGGCTACATAAGTCCAAATGAATATCTTCGAACAATGTTCCCGTTGCAATTTTACTTTTTATGACGCAAAGTGGTACTGTCGTGGTGTTAAATGTCGGTTCCATCAATATCAGGTAGCTGGTTGTAATTCTTTTGTCCAGATCAGCTATTGTGTTGCTTATTAACCGACTTCTATAAAGGAGGTGGTTCTCAATTGGTATATTAACCCCACTCAAATCGGAAAAATAAATCTCCCCGAAGATTGAAAAATAAGAAATGAAGTGTATTTATAATTCATTTAGTTCTAGCCAATGTTTCTGTATCTTTTGTAATTCTGTTACCGTCCACCACTGAAAAAGGACATTGATTAATTTAATGCAATTTGAAGAATGTTTTAAACTAACTATTCAACAAGGAGTTGCAGATTTTCTCACTTGATCCGAGCTGAAAATTGAAATTTCAACCAACTATTACATCGTCAAAAACATTTAGTTTTATTTTAGAATTACCGCTTAAGCTTTTTTTTTCTTCAAATCCACAAAAACTTCTAAGAAATGTATCATTAAAGGACAGGATGAAGACGATAATGTCGACGATGGCTTCTAGTGAAAGCGGACGAGAATAAACAAGTAAAAGTTTGTTTCCAGTAGGGTTTGATAAAAAAAACTATTAGCAAATATGCATTTGATAAAAGTATTGATAAAGAAGATTATTTCAATAATTGTACAAAAATAAAATATTATATTGAAATATAATATTATATTAATATTATTTTATATTGATTATGGTACTAAATGGTACATCACTATTTTTTATAACTAACGCTAGGAATTTCGGTAGCGAATTAGAGACAAAATTGTTCTTTGTTTCTATTTACAGCCTTTATAAACTTGTATGTTAACACTAGGTATATACGCGTATACGTATATACATATATAATAACATTGTTGGCTCGTAAGGTGTTATTTTTTTTTATTCGATTGTCGATTACTTACCCGTCAGCCAACGACCGCTCAAATAAACAGTAACGTTAAGTGAACATATTCTCGTTCGGAGCCGTGGTTTACGCTCTCAACCCGCACTGGAAAACATGTGGAATTATTTGCCGCGGATGCACTGACTAATGTCAGAAAATATAATCTCATATAGAAATTGCGCTTCGACTCTTCGGTGCCTTTCAATATATAATCCTAGGTCCGACAGCGGCAAACCTTCTGGTGTAATAAACCGTTAAACTACAAAAAACTTATTTGTTTGTTTCTTGTGTCATTCTTAATTTGAAATCCAATATAGGTATTTGACAGGAGTAAGGTCTGATGCAAATCGAGATGTGCATGGTCGGTTCGATTACGTGGCGGAGCGTAGGGAGGCGGCGGGCGGCGAGCTATCTCGCTTGATATCAGCTGTGCGGCGCGCGTGTGTGAGTGCCCGTGTCGGCACGCGGCGCGCCCCCGCTCCGCACACCGCCGCGCGCCCAATCAGCTGATCGCACTAGGTCGCCCGCCACGCTACCACGCCGCGCCGCAATAACACTACGTACACCAGTGCAACAACACACTCGGTTCACTTTTTCTACAAACAAATTGTTCAACAACTATAATTAAATTTTACTGCTTTAATACCATATCAATTAGAATAACATTTACAGAGAAATTCTAAGTCCAAGAGTGTTTTTGTGTACTTTAAAAGTTACGTTACATATTATACATGATACAGTTCCAGCAGTTATTTTTACCTAAGTCTAATAACGTATGATGGTGCAGAAGGCTCCCGGTTCCGGAGCGGGCACATAAAAGAGTTCCGCTCAGTATGCGGTCCCACTCGCACCCGTTGTGTGACCCACGAGAGAGAGCGGGAAGCGCTCGCGCCCGCCTGTCAAGTTCGGTACTTAAAATGGCCGATGCTTGCTTAGTTTCGTGATCGCCTAGGGAGGGGGCGACGTCGATAATATTATGTTTTATGACGGCGGGTGGCGGACGTACATAAATTGGGTTTTCGTTTTACGAGAGATAATACCGGCGATAAATTATACTCGCATTTCGGAGATCGAATTTTACCCGCAGCGAGTAGACGCCGACGGTCGACTGTAACTGCAGGCGTGTCATGCTTTTCAAGGAAGGCGGCAATGCCTGTGATCGCAAAGCGCTGCTGTTATCAGACCGTGACGAAGGCGCTCGTTATAATTCGTGATCGTTCCTACGCGCGGGCTCTTATCTCAAACGTCTCGCTTGCGACTCTCTTACTGCCAGTTTTACAGCCCGCAATAAAGAGATTACATGTGCACGTATTACTTTGAAAGCTTTATGTTTATCAACAAGATAGTTGTCTGAATTACCTAATGGTATGCAGTAAATGAACGGACTTAAACTAGTAAATATTCTGTACGTAAATAAACCTAAACGATATCCCTACACTTAGATAAAGATAATATAATAATTTTTTTGTTTATTAAAATACCAATATTTATTTTATATTTTACTATTACTGTGGCTAAATTAGATAAAAGTTCCCCATATAACGGCGACGAGTGAATCTGGACGGACACAATATCACAGTAATAAAAATAAAACAATGAAATGTTTACTATCGCTGCGTAAATAACATGAATATGTATAACTAAAATTCGCTTATGAGCCGGTGGCGCCGCCAGCCGGGGAGCACCGGTACCGTGTAGCCCGGAGAGCGGCGTGCATGCGATGCGGCAAAGCGCGGCACGCTGAGGGCTGTCGGCCGCTCAATCCAATCATCCATTAGTCTCGATGTTTATTTCGTGTTTATTACGTAGATGCTAATTTAACACGCCTCTCGCTCTGTTGTCGGATAATGGAGTAGGTACGGCCTAACAAAAGCTTTACAAGCGGAGAGGCTGGCGTGCCGCACGATGGCAATATGCGTGCCGAGCGATGGTCAATTTACACATTTCTTTCTGTATCCCGCTGCGTGCACTTTAAATCTATTTCAATGCATCTTATTAGACTCGGTTCCACTAGGCACTACTCGTAATTATTGAAACGTTCGCACGAATGTAGCGAATCATAATAATCAAGTTTTATTATAATAGCTTCGTCTTATTTCCCTGAGTTGTGATTCAGTATGAATAATTTCTTTCCCAACAGCTATTGTAGATTGTTCACGAGTCATTGTGTATAAGTGGCTTTCAAACAGAAAATAAAATGTGGAATGAATAGCGGCACGGTACACACTAGGCTTTTGTTTAGCGAATATTTTGGAAGTGTTGTCATTGAAAGCGAACAATGGCAGAACAAGTCGACGGTCCGCACATCTTCCGTCTTTCTACGTTTTGTACGTTCGGTACATTCTTCAAGCTTTTATGAGGTCCAACGTGGTTGGCTACCAAGTCCGCCTTTTATCTGTTGAGCATGAGTTGCAACTGGAAATGTCATATAGTTTTCGAACCAGTCTTTGTTGGCGTTAACACAACGAGAAAAAATTCTATGTGCTTAAGTAAGTTTTGTTTTATAATCACTCACTAATCTTCTAAGGGATTGCTTTATATCATTTGTAAGTTCATTGACTTTCAGAGCACATTGAACTTTCATTTGCAAAAAAGTCATTTTATCTTGCTCCTTTTTGGAAGTTTCCTCTCTGTAAAGTGCAAAAAGAGTCTTTCTGCTAAGGCTCACTTCCTCGTCAGTTGACCCTAAAACAAACTTAAACCAAAATTTAGTACCAATTAAATAAAAGAATTGAGATAAATACATTTTTTGTTGGTACGTCTATAGCGTCCAGTACAAACGTGGTTGATTAAAACGACGGCGAAAAGTTCAATCGCTCTATACTAGCAGTTATTATCGAACCTAGAACACTATTGTTTCGTTTAACGCTCGGAACGTAATGACGCTATTGTTCACTATTTATAACGTGCTCAATTCATGCATGGAAAAAAATTACATTGCCTTTAAAGCCGATATTTCTAAGCATCTAAACTATCTACTTGTATCTCAGTTTACGGAAGAATAGACTATTATCAATAGGTACGTGTATCTGTATTGGACTTCTCTGCTGCTACTTGAACATACATGGAAACTCTTAAAACATGATCATGGGTTTAATTGTTTATTTAAATGTTATAGACGCAGTAGAAGATAAAGATTCGTGTGTTACAAAATATAACGTGTAACTGTTTAAGAAACTAAATAAGTAGGATAGCCTATTTATATATTTTTTTAAATGGGTAATGAGATAGCGGTTGGTACACAACCGCTATCGCATGTGACGTATATTTTTTCAATCATTCCAATATTGTTTATAAGTTACTTTTATAGTATTTATCTGATGTAGGTATGACACCGAAAACTTAAGAAAACATGTGAACGCAAAAAAAACAGCTATTATAATCACAATCTAAAGCACAAATACTACAATCTTTTTGTTTCAACATCCCACATACACATTCAAATCGGTAGTCTCTCAGGTAGGTACCTACCTACACGGAGCAAATACAGAGGGAACCTAGTAGGTATGTTTATATTTCTATAACTAAGAAATTATTAAACGAGGATAATCAAGAAATAGGAAGGTTTAATCACTTTTGTGTCAAAGGAGAAAGTATTGCGGCGGAAGTAAAAGTTACAAAATCTAATATTTTCAAAAATAATGTTTTGCAACCAAACTGGGTTCTTAAACCTTTTTTTCATGTCGAAAGGTATGGCATTTTAAAGTTCTATTATAGCTATTAAATTCTGTGGTACAATCAATAGTCTGTCATCTTTTACAGTCTTCAGATCGAAGACAATAAAACAATACAGACATTCTAAAGTGTAATGCTAAAAAGTTTACGATTACTCGCAATGCGATATTCAGATCTCCAGACCATTGTCTAGTCTATTATCTGATAGACCTTATAATTGAAACAATCGACATTTTATCGAATTTGTTAATCCTATGATTACAGCACTAATCCCGTCAGATAACAATTAGTGTTCTAAGATTTATTTACAACTACCCACATAATTATATCGCACATTTCATAGCCTACATCAATATACCCACCCTATAATAGCTTTAGCGGACGTTATTTTACATGATGATTATTGTTTTAACATCACTAATAAATAAACGAATGTCATACACTTATCAGTGCAGCAATAGCAGATACTTGGAGGGCGTGACTGCTGAGGTCCTCTGCCCTGCGTACCACAACACAGACAGTAGAACCCTACGCCACGAATAATACATTCAATAGTTTGAATGGTTAATAGTTGGTAAGATTGAATGTTAACCTGAGGTGAACACGCTCGTTAGTGTACAATTCCAGTGGGTGGTAACGTATCGTATACTTACTTACAATCGTACCAGCGGGCTGCGCGCTGCATCCGACGGCCGGCTCGCGGCTCCTGCACTGCACATCTCCTGGTGGGTAAATCCTGAGTACGGGGCACTGTGAGCTCGGGCTCGATCGACAAGATATGATAAGTATCACACACTGGCCGTATATCGCATATTATACACACTGCCGCACGTGACGCAAGGCGCGGGCCGACCGCATGGAGGTAAATAAAACGATTTATTAGGGATTTTTGTAAAAAGATAGTTATATTTTTGGCATTGGACTATGACACAATATAATACTATGATATGCTAAGTAAGCGTTTTATAAAGACTTTTACATGCCGAATATTCGTTAATCAGACTATTCTTCAGAGGACTCTTTATATATAATTTTAACAAACATAACCGCTTACAAATTGAGAGTAGAGTACGAATCTAATTTACCGCTCGGGACTGCTCTAGAACTCATCACCTATTCGAAAACATAACTATGTCTAGTATTATTATTAATATTTTTCTCACTTTCATTTTTTTTACTCTATAGGTACATATTCATTATAATACAATTTTTGAACATATAATTATCGATATGATATCTTATACAGAAATACGCAACGAATCGGCGACGGTACAATAATTTAATCCTGAAGCGTCGTTTACTGCGTTTGCGAATAAATATTTCGTTGGTGGGTATGCACTAGCGTGGACGCGCCGGTCGCCGGGCGGGGCCAGGCGGCGGCGCCCGACGACCGGCTCCTCGACCGAAACTATAACACGAACCGTCCGGCTCCTCGGCGAGACAACACATCATAATCGTCCGGTACAACAACACATAAATCAACGTTTAAACAATATCAACGTACATAGGTACTATTTGGTATTAAGTTCGTCCGCGGACGGCCGCGGCGCGCACTTACACTACTAATTACAAGGGAACATCACAGAGACCGGGCCCGCTCCGGCACCGCTCGGCTACATGTAGATCGGCAGCTGCTGCAGCGCGCGCTTGTCGAAGCGGTCGTAGTGCGCGGCGGCCGGCGGGAGCGCGCGCGCTATATCACAGTCCAGCGCCTCAGGCGGCAGGTAGGGGTGCGGCTTCAGCCGGGCTCGAGCAGCCAGCTTGCCTCCGGCGGCCTCCGCCGCGTACGATTCGAAGCGGTAGCAGGCTAGTTGATGTGGTGCTGGTTCGTCCGCAGGCCCGCGGACCCGTGCGGCCTGCGCCGGTTGCGGCTGCGGCGGCGGCACGGGCGGTGCGGGCGCTGCACGGCAGCATCGTCGAGCCGCTCGCGGAGCCCGTGCTCCTCGGCCCGGCGTCACGGCCGCGGCAGCTGCGGCGTCCCCTCGAGGCAGGTTGTTCACGAAGGGCACGCGCCGCAGGCTTTCGAGCCTCCGGAAGTGCGAGGGGTGAATCATGAGCAGCGGCTCGATCTTGACGCCCTGTGGCGGCTTGGCACAGTCGGGAAGCTCGTATTCGATACTGCAGTCTACGTGTAAAGGCACCGAGTAGTCCTTAGGGGCGAGCGAGGCGGGTCGCGCGTCCCGGCGGAAGCGTTCTGCTGCGGCGAAGTCAGCCTCGCCGCGGGCGTAGCCCGTCATGTCGACGGTCGCGGCCTCACGGCATGTGCGCCGCGGGGCGCGCGCCGATCAGCTGATTGTCGGAGCAAAACTTAGCGCGCACACGTGCGCGCAATGTGGCGGCGGCCGCGAGACTGACGCTCACCGCCCCGCGCGCCTGCGCCGCGCCTGCCGCCCCGCACCCGGGCCCCTACGCCGCCGGGGAGCCGTTCATCCCGGTCCCGCCCCCCGTCGTGGCCGGGAATTTGCCCCCTCACCCCTAGTCCGGGACTTCGGAGCGCCTCGTTCTTGTGTGTGACGTATGACGTCCGTCGTCTACGTACGTAGGAAGGTGGCGAGCGCCGGCGCCGCTGTTCGTGTCGCCGTTGCCGTTGATCGAGTTCAGCGCGACCGGGGGTACGCGGCGGGACGAGCCGACGACTCGCCGACGCCGACAGACAGTGGAATTCATCGAAAGATCGATAAAAATGGCGAAGGCTCCTAACCAGCGATGCGAGCCTTGCGCAGAGATGCACTACGCACGCGGTTGATGTGCGGGGCAGGGGGCGCAGGGATGTGGGGTGGCTACGTGTACTGGGAACTGAGGCAGGCGGGGCACGATGCGATTGTCAAACAGCTGACTACAAAGAAGTTCAAAATATTAAACAACAGAGTCCGCACTCACGCCACTTGGCACATACTCGGTACAGAACTCGACTATTATGACTCAAATACGTCGGTCGGAACTGCCGACGATGTTGAAAGATAATTACAGTAATCTAGTAAAAAGTTTTCACATGGCAACTTTTACGATAGTTATACGAGTTAAGTGTGTAATGGAAGTGGGTAGGGGATCAAAACCATCAAGTTAAACAGCTGTTGGAATATAATACATAGATCAATGATCAAAACATCGAACTTTATTTTGAAAGTTATGCGATAGATATAATATCACCCAACAGTATTTTAGTACATATTAGTGATAGAAAAGGCATGTCTGTGTCTAGACTAGTACTCAAGAAGTTTCAATATATGCGATGTCTAGTATTAACCTGGTCAACTCGTGCAATATTGAGTGATGATCACGCGATCATCTTCACATAACCCACTATTTTGGCACCGGCATTCAGTTCCGTCATGCTTGTGAATAGTCGCTAGTCATACCCAGACTGACGAATCGCTGTCCAAATACGATTCGATACTATAAACATGGTGATTAAATTATTTAAGTTTTTCACGATGGTTTGTACTCGGCAACAAATATTTTAGAGTTGAAAGCGACTTCCGAACTATACCGCATATAATTAATCCACTCACCCATACCACTAAATCAGCCACCATACCAGCTAAATTAATAACAGCCTTAGAAATATATGTCTTAACAGCTGCAATAGAATAGTAGATACAAAAGTGGAGTAAACGTAATTAGTAGGTAAGCGCAGCAGAATGGGAGGTATTATCGCCGTCTGCCATCTTTTACAGTGAGCCTTTTAACGCACTACAATTATGGAATTTGGTTTCTAATTATCGACTACAACGACGTATTAAAGCCCACATTTTGCAGACCATATTTCTCTCTTGTCCCACTTATCTAAATGGGGTCGAGTTTATTGACTTCAACCATAATATGTATTTCTAAAAGGCATACTTAATATTGCCCAATAAATTTGCCTTTAAAATTCCACTGCTGGACATAGTAGGGAAGTCATAGAAGCCCTAGAGGAGGATCTATTATCTAGAGACCCTATCATAGGAGGAATACCCTCCATCCAGTTGAGTACCTCCACCATACATGAGCCCTACATATAGCGGGGAGAGTCTAGGGCAGCCCATCAGATTAGTTTAAAAAAAATCGATGACCAGAAAGATTAAGATTAAGATTTCTTTTTGGCTAGTATGAGAGGAACATCAAGCTGAACCGTCTGCATAAAATCTAATACGTTGGAGTATATTGAAATGGCGATTTTTCGAATTTGCAGATTTCATTTTTGATAATTCGCTGCCAGCTTATGTCACTTTAAATCATCAAACATTTTTAACATATCCCCAAAATATTTGCGCCCGTATAATTTTTATTTTATTTGAAAACTTTTCCCACCGCTGAAACTGGTTTTTTTTTTTTAACTTTTATTCATTCTATTACCTAATCTTTCAAATGCAATAGGTCTCCATGACGCTCGAGTAAATAACCATTTAGCATCATGGACTCCCCTAGTAATAGGCCTCTCCTTAGAAAGGAGCTTTAAATACATATTAGGTATAAATAATTACCACATAATATTTGTCCTCGCTGGGTATCGAACTTAATACCAGTGGCCTAAAATATTAACTCGTCTATCTGTGTAACCTTTCGTAAGTCCGTTTCTGTACAACTTTAGGATTTGCACTAATAGATAAATTATTTATATTTGTGGCAAATAATCAGGTTTTGAAACCAAACGTTTACATACACGCAAAGTAGGCCTTGGCAGGCACGACTACCTGTATTTAGATTTTAGTCACCAATCAACCGTATACCTGGCTGAGTAACTAGTTTCATTTCTGTTTCATTTCATACAGATATCATTATTATGCTTTACATACTCTAAGAACATAATTACTACATATTTGGTTCCTGTCAAGCGGTTATTCGACTTCTATATCACCTTTTGAAGAATCAAACCATTTGTAGAAATCAGGACTGGTTCATTTAAGACTATTGACACAAATGTCTGCAACGGTCCACTAGCGACTCGGTTAAGTGTGTCTGTTTGTTACATTATAATAACAGCTATTTACTAAATGGGTCTATATTTATATACGATGATATATATGTAAGGACTTTGTCTGTCTGTCTGGTGGTTCTATCTGATCTCCTCAACGGGAAGATCTGGACGGGTGTTTCATTGTATTGACTTGACTTTCGTAAACCTAATGTTATAAGCACCAACTTAGGTTATTTTTGTTTTGGAAAAAGAATAAGGGTACACATAAACATCAATAATAATATATCTAGTAAAGTAAACATAGTTTGTCTATTTGCTAATAATCATCGATGGTTGTAAAAGCAATTAGCAAAAGAAAAAGTACCATCGTTCATCTGCGTGCAGTAAATAAAAACCTCCTACATACATTAAACGTAGTTTTATTATAGAGGACCATGACTTGTCTGGTTTTTTGTACGTATTTGTATATGCATATGTACACCGCAAGTACATTCTGTATGCGGGTAGGCCTGCAACAGATGATGCATACAATTTCTTTTTCACTAAGCAACAGACATCGAATCCCACGTTCTAATGTCGTGACTAATAACTGAACTATATCGTACCAGACGCCTATCTGTGGAATTTCCCACGTCTGTGGGCAACACTAACGTGCAAGTAATTAAACTGCTGCAACACCACGTCAAATCAATTACACATCGATTAATGACTGCGGTGTTGAGCATCAAAAAGCTATTTTACTTACATTATATTATGTATATTTCCATTTAATCTGATGATTGTTGTATACTCTCTGGCAAATACCACTTTGCTCTATTTATTTATTTAATTGCATGCTACCACACTACACTACTTCTTAGAATTTACTTTCAAAAGAAAAAAAGTAATTCAAAAATCAGATACTTGTGTATTCCACAAATACACAAATGTAAATGAATGAAATTTATTCCAAAAATTAGAAGCCCTAACGTACTGTTAAACTAGTTACAACAACACAAAAACAACTTTCAATTATTGTAAAGTAAATGCGCCACTGTAATATCAAGAAAATGTATTAATATGCAGCATGGTATTACAACAAAAAGTGCTAAAGGAAGCATCAAACTAGCTGACGATGACGACATTTCAACTGCAACGAAGCAAGGTATTCGATATTGAATCGATTTTTAGTGAAATATCTGATTCCTGACACTGGCTTTCGTCTCTGATCACTATTATAGTAGGGGAGTCCATGATGCTAAATCGAACGTCATGGGAACCTATTGCATTTGAAAGATCAGGTAATAGAATAAATAAAAGTTTTAGAATGTTTCCTTTTTCAGCGGTGGGAAAAGCTTCTACAGGTTTTCAAAAATGTAAGGGGAGGAAAAACAAAAAAAAACCGGGCACATCAGATATTTTTCGGTTGTGTTATTTGGACGCCAAAAAGAATTGAAAGTTCAAACGATTTTAAAGTAACACAAGCTCGTAGCGAATTATCAAAAATGCAAACTGCAAATTCGAAAAATCGCCATTTCGAAATACCTGAACGTATTAGATTTTATACAGACGGTTCAGCTTAATGTTCCTCTCATACTAGCCAAAGATTTGACCAGAATTTTGCAGGGTATTAATATCTAAATCTGATGATTAGAAATATTTTTATTTATTGATTTTTTACAAAATGTGAAAAAGAAAGGCACGAAAAATTATTTAGACATTTAAATAAGATTTCCTGCATTGATTGCTTCAAAATAAAAAAATTTGTTAAAGTCATGTGTTTATTTTTGCTACTTTGTGACCCTCCCAACACACTGATGTGTTCGAGTATTTCTGACCATCGTTTTTGTTCAATAATTCGATGGGCTACCCTAGACGCTCCCCCTATATGTAGGGCTCATGTATGGTGGAGGTACTCAACTGGGTGTAAGGTATTCCTTTTATCTTAATCTAGGACCTTCTTGGGCTCCCCTACTGTTAAACATTTTAGGACAAGCCTATAAACCCAACAACCTTAAGGTGCATATCAATACCAAGGCCCCACTTTGAAAATAACTAAAGTTAATTTGGATAATATGGTATTATAAAACTACATGTTCATTGCGTGAATTTTCACAATCTACATCTACAATGAGTGATCGATCTGTGTTCTGACAGCGCCACTGGAGATAATATAAAAGTGTTTAAACTAGTACTAAGTACCTTCTGTTATTTACACAAGGTTAGATTTTAAAACCAATATTAATTTTAAAAACAAACAATCAATGTTATATCTTTAAATCTGTTAAGACGAGTCAAAAAAAAAATTTCGTTTGTAACTGCATCTATTTTACGGGATCAGACGACCCTGCCTTGTGGAGCTTTTAAATCAACCATTTTTTATCACATTTTATTGTATTGCATTTCTATTGTTAGAGGAAATTGCGGATGAATAAATAACACTGAAGTGACATTCGCTGAACCCCACAGACAAGTTCTAATAAATAATACTTACTTATAATTATGATGTTGCAAATTGCAAGAATATAATAATATCTTGGGTTGGTTCACGGGTCATTGATATCGTGTGGTGCGGGCTGCAGCAGGCTACATCCGATCTGATGTAACTGGACACTGCTCAGCGGGCCGTGTTCGACGCAACCCCCACCTTCTAGCCCCCTCGGGTACGCCAGATCGAATGTCATACTCACATGCAGGCGCAAACCTTTTTACAGGCTACAGCTATTTGTTTAGGTACTGACAGAGAGTCATTATGTACAAGTCACTACAAGGGAACTCGGCAAACTGTTACTTGAGTCAACGCTCTAGAAATCTTGGGATTATTGACATAGTAACGGAATGGCAGCTCTGCTACCTGAGGTGTGCCTAAAAAATAACCTTTAATCGATTTCCTAAATATAGAAATCATGGGAAAGTTGCAAAAAATGAGGCCAAACGCGAGTCAACTCGGCGCAGTGAGGTATTGGCTAGCTGTAATTCAGTAATTGTAATAAGACAAGCATAAATTCAAGTATTTTAATTGCAATTACTTTGATTTCAGTTTTTCTACTGTTTGTAGCGGACAGACTTTCTAATACGAGTACAA